TTTTCGTCATGTTGCATTCAATTTCTAGGGGAGAAACAGGCATGAGAATACTGAGTTACTTCTTAGTAGTAGGCGATTTTGCAGTGAATGTGATATTACTTCTGTTGAAACCAGTTAATTGTTGTCGATATGTGATGAACATTGTTAAATTCTGAGAAAGGGGTGAAAGCCTCTAGTATTAGGGCTTACAAACCGTGCCAAAGTATCGCAGTTGATTCCCTTTTAGACGTATAATGAATGAGTATTGCGGAGATGGTTTATCGGATCTCACAGCTGGGCTGTCAGTGCTAAATTTGGATGGTAACGGTAGCTGCTGTCCCAACTTGTGTTGTAGAAAAGAGGCGGAGTTTACTCCTCGTTGACGAAGAACATGGAGTGGTGTTTCGTCAGTATGAGAACGAGGGCGATCTGGAGAAAATTGTGCCACTGATTTCGAAGGACCTTTCAGAGCCCTATTCCCTCTATACGTACAGGTACTTTATTTACAACTGGCCGGAGCTCTGTTTGTTGGTACGTTTGTTTTTTGGAAAAGGACACTGAAGAAATAGGCCACAAGGGAGGATGGGTGCGTGGTGGGCACTATCGTCTGCAAGTTGGATTATCATGGGCAGGTGAAACGTGGTTACATCGCGATGCTTGCCGTGGAGAAGGAGCACCGCAGGAAGAGAATCGGTTCCACGTTGGTCCAACTGGCTGTGGAACTCATGATTGAGGATGAAGCCCAGGAGGTGAGTTGTTGTCGACTTTTGCGTGATGGAGTAAATTTTAAGGGGAAGAATGGTTGAGGTAAGTGGTAGAGGGTGGGGCCTGTGTGGGGTTAGGAATGACTATGGTCGACCAGTGGAAGAGTTCATCCGATGGGGGTGTGAAGCAGTTGGTAGATTGGGTGTCAGAATGGGAGTGTTGCAGTCCATGAAACAGGAATCCAAGGTTTTGTCTGCAGCAAGGTCGTGGCGTGGTGTGGCGTTGCAGTAAGGATTCATGTGATGGTAGCTGAAGGTTAGCTTGTGTTATAGTAGTGTTGGCAGGGGTGCCAAGAAGTCGTTTAAATGTTGTTATTTGACTAAGGTCGTTTTGGAAGCAGAGGTGGATAACAAACCAGCCTTGGCGTTGTACGAACAACTGGGGTTCTTGCGGGACAAGTATCTCTTTCGATACTACCTGACTGGAACAGACGCTTTCCGCTTAAAGCTCTGGCTTGACACGTAGCTGCAGTAAGCTTGTCCTCCCCACGCCTTGCTTGAACACCTACCACTACCCATAAATTTTTTTATTTGTATGACTATTTGGTTTTGTTGTATGTGTGATTCGGTCAAATCATTTCACTGACAAATTGGTACATGTTATTCATTATTGATAGGCAAATTGTGAGTTGGAAGCGTAGTTGTTTAATGTTGGCGATTATTCGAAGAGCGCTTTGACTATTTGTGCCTTTAGCAGATTGGTGACTTTCTGTGTTCTTCTATCATGCTGGTTGCACATCTCTTTGAAGAGACCAAGGGTTTACGTATTGGAAGGAGAACCGACGTTGGATTGCATACGATTGATAAAGGAGTGGTGGAAAAGGTTATCCGTGCAATGCGTGGTGTCATGTGAAGGTTGGCTTCTCAATAGGTAGGGACGCGAGCTGGGCACCGGAATGGGAGATCTGTGGAAAGCGATATGCGGTAGGCTATTTTAGACAGATGTCATCAATAGTAATGTCTTGGTTTAAAGTTCAGGCAAGCGAAATCGTTGCCTTAGTTACTGCCTGATTTGCGCTTGGTATTTCTACCTCACTATTGGCGAAATACTGAAGTTCCGCTATGACGCATATCCACTGTTGCCAACAGTTAGCCTCACTGCATGTTATGACGACGTCATGAACGGTCAGATACTTTCCAGGTGAATTTGGACTGACCGGTACTTGTGGCAAAGTCAGTTGTCTGCACTTTTGCTGGAGAAGCTGTCAGTGGGAGAGCGTTGGGGTGAGTGTGCTTGCCCATGGTAAGCAGCAAAGAAGGGATTTAAGTTGGTTAGCGTGGAATTTGGTCTAGGAGGCCAGAGTAATAAGATCCACCATGGGACGGAGCCGGACAGCCTTCGAATTGTGAGAACACGACTAAATCGACGATGCCACGTCCCGGGGTGACCGAGTCTCGTGCACCCTCCACCGT